TTAGTCCTGGTTTAGTTCTGGTTTAGTCCTGGTTTAGTCCTGGTTTAGTCCTGGTTTAGTCCTGGTTTAGTCCTGGTTTAGTAGTCCTGGTTTAGTCCTGGTTAGTCCTGGTTTAGTCCTGGTTTAGTCCTGGTTTAGTCCTGGTTTAGTCCTGGTTTAGACCTGGTTTAGTCCTGGTTTAGTCCTGGTTTAGTCCTGGTTTAGACCTGGTTTTAGTCCTGGTTTAGTCCTGGTTTAGTCCTGGTTTAGTCCTGGTTTAGACCTGGTTTAGTCCTGGTTTAGTCCTGGTTTAGTCCTGGTTTAGACCTGGTTTTAGTCCTGGTTTAGTCCTGGTTTAGTCCTGGTTTAGTCCTGGTTTAGTCCTGGTTTAGTCCTGGTTTAGTCCTGGTTTAGTCCTGGTTTAGTCCTGGTTTAGTCCTGGTTTAGTTCTGTAAAACAGTTGCATGAAATAAAATAATGTTTAGGCTTTGAAACTTATTTTCTACACATATTTTTCTCAGAACACGAACGTCACTTTTTCACGTTGATGAAATTTGATCAAATCCTGCTGAATGTGCAGATTTATCTTATGTTAACTTATCGTGAAATGTATAAATCTGTTTAATTTTATTTAATTGATCTGATTCTGTAAAATAATACAAAAACAGTCTTTAGTTTCCACATTTCTGTTTTGTCTTAAACAGAATCAAACACACAGACACAGTTTGGAGCTGGACAGTGTGAAGAAGCTCTGGTCTGTGGACACAGAATCACACATGATGATCACATTCTGATCATCTACTCTGTTCTACATGTTTAAATACACTTAAAGTATTTATTACTACAATAATGGACCAGAACAGAAGAACAAGAACATTAGAAGTGTATCTGCAGAAACAAAACTCACCGTGTGCTGCTTTTCTTCCTCTAAACGCAGTAACAGGGAGGGCATCTGGTATAAAGTCTCCTAGTGCCACATCACCCTGTAGAAACACAATCACTGTTTCAATAGAAGTTACATTTTGAAATATTTGTTTAAAATCATTTGAGTTGGTTTATTTACTTTGTTCATCTGTGTTTTGTTCTCAAACATCTTCCTTTTTTCTGAAACATCAACTGTAACATTCATGAACTTCCCCTCAGCTGCAGCAGAACCTGGACGTGTCTGTGTTTGTAGACGACTGGAACAAACACATTTAAATCTGAGTCCAACTGTCCCACTCCTGTAGATGAACAGTCAAATACAGTTTGTCTCATGGAAACAGTCCTGACATTAACTCTAATTTCAAATAAAACACCACAAACATGTTTTAACAATGACGACTTTCTAGTCCAGAGAAACAGATAAAATGTTTGAAAAGTGTCACCTCCAGATCAGCTCCATGATCCTCCTGCTCCACACTGTGTCTCTGCTCTTGTCTCTGTCCTGTTACATCTGAAGTTTCCCTCCAAAAGTTTTGTGGAGGAGAATTCCAGAGGGACGAGCCTCACCACAGATTAGAATAAAGTCATGTTTCCTCAACCTGATTAAAACCTGCAGGTTGAACATCAGACACAATCACATGACCTTTGTAACATTTAAACACACTGGACAGAGAAACGTAAAAAAGTCATGTTATTGTTGTAAAAAAAAATTTTTTTGCAATTTGAGCAACTCAACTCGGACTGTTTTTTCAGTGCAGGTTCTTGTTCCATCACGTGTCTGAACTGAGCAGTGTTTCTCTCTCTCTTTCTCCTCTTTCTTCTCTTTCTTCTCTCCCTCCTTCTCTCCGTCTCTTCCTCGTCTCCACACTGAACCATATGTTCCTCCTCCTCTTCTTCTTCTTCTTCTTCTCGCGGCGTCGGTGAGTTTGTCGTGTCATGATTTCTGGAATCACTGAAGCATCGACGACCACAGAGCTCAGCACAATCCTCTCCTCCTCTCCTCTCCTCCTCTCCTCTCCTCCTCTCCTCTCCTCCTCTCCTCTCCTCCTCTCTCCTCCTCTCCTCCTCTCTCCTCCTCTCCTCCTCTCCTCCTCTCTCCTCCTCTCCTCCTCTCCTCCTCCTCTCTCCTCCTCTCCTCCTCTCCTCCTCTCTCCTCCTCTCTCCTCTCCTCTCCTCTCCTCCTCCTCCTCCTCTCCTCTCTCCTCCTCTCCTCCTCCTCCTCTCCTCTCCTCTCTCTCCTCTCTCTCCTCTCCTCTCTCCTCTCCTCCTCCTCCTCCTCTCTCCTCCTCTCTCCTCCTCTCCTCCTCCTCCTCCTCCTCCTCCTCCTCCTCTCCTCTCCTCCTCTCCTCCTCCTCCTCTCCTCTCCTCTCCTCCTCCCTCCTCCTCCTCCTCCTCCTCCTCCTCCTCCTCCTCCTCCTCTCCTCCTCCTCTCCTCCTCTCCTCCTCCTCTCCTCCTCCTCCTCCTCTCCTCCTCCTCCTCCTCCTCCTCCTCCTCCTCCTCCTCCTCCTCCTCTCCCTCCTCCTCTCCTCCTCCTCTCCTCCTCCTCTCTCCTCCTCCTCCTCCTCCTCCTCCTCCTCCTCTCTCCTCCTCCTCTCCTCCTCCTCCTCTCCTCCTCTCCTCCTCCTCCTCTCTCCTCTCCTCCTCCTCCTCCTCTCCTCCTCTCCTCTCCTCCTCCCCTCCTCCTCCTCTCTCTCCTCCTCTCTCCTCTCCTCCTCTCCTCCTCTCCTCCTCTCCTCTCTCCTCCTCCTCCTCCTCCTCCTCTCCCTCCTCCTCTCCTCCTCTCCTCCTCTCCTCCTCCTCTCCTCCTCTCCTCTCTCTCTCTCCTCCTCCTCTCTCCTCTCCTCTCCTCCTCTCTCTCTCCTCCTCTCTCCTCCTCTCCTCCTCTCCTCTCCTCTCCTCTCCTCCTCTCCTCCTCTCTCCTCCTCCTCTCCTCTCCTCCTCTCTCCTCCTCCTCCTCCTCTCTCCTCTCCTCCTCTCCTCCTCCTCCTCCTCTCCTCTCTCTCCTCTCCTCCTCTCCTCTCCTCCTCTCCTCCTCCTCTCCTCCTCCTCTCCTCCTCTCCTCCTCCTCTCTCCTCTCCTCTCTCCTCCTCTCTCTCCTCTCTCTCTCCTCCTCTCCTCTCTCCTCTCCTCCTCCTCTCCTCCTCCTCCTCCTCTCTCCTCTCTCCTCCTCTCCTCCTCTCCTCCTCCTCTCCTCCCCTCCTCCCTCCTCCTCTCCTCCTCCTCCTCCTCCTCCTCTCCTCCTCTCCTCCTCTCCTCCTCCTCTCCTCCTCTCTCCTCTCTCCTCCTCTCTCCTCCTCTCCTCCTCCTCTCCTCCTCCTCTCCTCTCCTCTCCTCCTCCTCCTCTCCTCCTCCTCCTCTCTCCTCTCTCCTCCTCTCTCCTCCTCCTCTCTCTCCTCTCCTCCTCCTCCTCCTCCTCTCCTCCTCCTCCTCCTCCTCCTCTCCTCCTCCTCCTCCTCCTCCTCCTCCTCTCCTCCTCCTCCTCCTCCTCCTCCTCTCCTCCTCTCTCCTCCTCTCCTCCTCCTCCTCTCCTCCTCCTCTCCTCCTCCTCTCTCCTCCTCCTCCTCCTCTCCTCTCCTCCTCCTCTCCTCCTCTCCTCCTCTCTCCTCCTCTCCTCCTCCTCCTCCTCCTCTCTCCTCCTCTCCTCTCCTCCTCTCCTCTCCTCCTCCTCCCTCCTCCTCCTCTCTCCTCTCCTCCTCCTCCTCTCTCCTCCTCCTCCTCCTCCCTCCTCTCTCTCCTCCTCCTCCTCTCCTCTCCTCCTCTCTCCTCCTCCTCCTCCTCCTCCTCTCCTCCTCTCTCTCCTCCTCTCCTCCTCCTCCTCCTCCTCCTCCTCTCCTCCTCCTCCTCTCCTCCCTCTCTCCTCCTCCTCCTCCTCTCTCCTCCTCCTCCCTCTCCTCCTCCTCCTCCTCCTCTCCTCCTCCTCCTCCCTCCTCCTCCTCCTCCTCCTCTCCTCTCCTCCTCTCCTCCTCCTCTCCTCCTCTCTCCTCCTCCTCCTCCTCCTCCTCTCCTCCTCCTCCTCCTCCTCCTCCTCCTCCTCCTCTCCTCCTCTCCTCCTCCTCCTCCTCCTCCTCTCCTCCTCCTCCTCCTCTCTCCTCTCCTCCTCTCCTCCTCTCCTCTCCTCTCTCTCCTCCTCCTCCTCCTCCTCCTCCTCTCCTCTCTCCTCCTCCTCCTCCTCCTCCTCCTCCTCCTCCTCTCTCTCCTCCTCCTCCTCCTCCTCCTCCTCCTCCTCTCCCTCCTCTCTCTCCTCCTCCTCCTCCTCTCCTCCTCTCCTCCTCCTCCTCTCCTCCTCCCTCCTCCTCCTCCTCCTCCTCCTCCTCCTCCTCCTCTCCTCCTCCTCCTCTCCTCCTCCTCCTCTCCTCTCCTCCTCTCCTCCTCCTCTCCTCCTCCTCTCTCCTCCTCCTCCTCCTCTCCTCCTCCTCTCCTCCTCCTCCTCCTCTCCTCCTCCTCCTCCCTCCTCCTCTCCTCTCCTCCTCTCCCTCCCTCTCTCCTCCTCCTCCTCCCTCCTCTCCTCCTCCTCCTCCTCCTCCTCCCTCCTCCTCCTCCTCTCCTCCTCCTCCTCCTCTCCTCCTCTCCTCCTCCTCCTCCTCCTCCTCCTCCTCCCTCCTCTCCTCTCCCTCCTCTCTCCTCCTCTCTCCTCCTCCTCCTCCTCTCTCCTCTCCTCCTCCTCCTCCTCTCCTCCTCTCCTCCTCTCCTCCTCCTCCTCCTCTCCTCCTTCTCCTCCTCCTCTCCTCCTCTCTCCTCCCCTCTCCTCCTCTCTCCTCTCCTCCTCCCTCCTCTCCTCCTCCTCCTCCTCCTCCTCCTCCTCCTCCTCCTCCTCCTCCTCCTCCTCCTCCTCCTCCTCCTCCTCCTCCTCTCTCCTCTCCTCCTCTCCTCCTCCTCCTCCTCCTCCTCTCCTCTCCTCCTCCTCCTCCTCCTCCTCTCCTCCTCCTCCTCCTCTCTCTCCCTCCTCCTCCTCCTCCTCCTCCTCTCTCCTCCTCTCCTCCTCCCTCCTCTCCTCCTCCTCCTCCTCCCTCCTCCTCCTCTCTCCTCCTCCTCCTCCTCTCCTCTCCTCCTCCTCCTCTCCTCCTCCTCCTCCTCCTCCTCCTCCTCTCTCTCCTCCTCCTCCTCCTCCTCTCTCCTCCTCCTTCTGACTCAGTCTCTTTGTGTTTTTTAGGTGAGGAGCTGAAGGGGAAAATCGCGGTTCGTAAAAATCAGAAGGATCCTCGCTCTCTGCTCATCTCCATCCAGCTCCCAGATCGAAAGCTTCACTACAGCCTCCAGTGAAGAACATCTGAACATCTGAACATCTGAACATCTGAACATCTGAACATCTAAACATCTGAACATCTGAACATCTGAACATCTGAACATCTAAACATCTAAACATCTGAACATCTAACATCTAACATCTAAACATCTAAACATCTGAAACATCTGAACATCTGAACATCTGAACATCTAAACATCTAAACATCTAAACATCTGAACATCTGAACATCTGAACATCTGAACATCTGAACATCTAAACATCTAAACATCTGAACATCTGAACATCTGAACATCTGAACATCTAAACATCTGAACATCTGAACATCTGAACATCTGAACATCTGAACATCTGAACATCTAAACATCTGAACATCTGAACATCTGAACATCTGAACACCTGAACACCTGAACATCCTGAACACCTAAACACAAACCTAAACACCTAAACACCTAAACACCTAAACACCTGAACACCTGAACACCTGAACACCTGAACACCTGAACACCTGAACACCTAAACACCTAAACACCTAAACACCTAAACACCTAAACACCTAAACACCTAAACACCTAAACACCTAAACACCTAAACACCTAAACACCTAAACACCTAAACACCTGAACACCTGAACACCTGAACACCTGAACACCTGAACACCTGAACATCTGTCCTTCATCTGTGTCGTGTCAGAGTCTGAAATTTGTAATAAAACACCAAAAAACTCCAAAACTCCATGTGTCCTTCTCCTGTCTCTGCTCCTGGTTTAGTCCCATCTCAGACCTGGTCCTGGTCTTGGTCCTGGTCCTGGTTCTGGTTCTGGTCTTGGTCCTGGTCCTGGTCCTGGTCTTGGTCTGGTCCTGGTTCTGGTTCTGGTTCTGGTCTTGGTCCTGGTCCTGGTCCTGGTCTCTGTGTGAAGTCGCTGCTCATCAAACTCAAACCTTCATAAAAACGACAAACGTTTGATCTGCTTTAATTTATTTATTTTTTGATTTTCACTGTTCTGGTTTTTAGGTTTGAGTTCTTTTTTCGGCCGATGACGTCACCCTGCCCCCGGCCAGAAATAATGTTTTATAATCAGTGAAATAAATAAATGATAATAACTTTAAAACTATGAATGTAAACAGTAAAATAAAAACACACAACAGGACAAACAAAACAGAACTGATGTAATAGTTTGACAGTTTTTGCAGGTTTTCACATCGTGAGGGGCTGAACGACGTCATCGACCAAAATAAAACTTCATATTTTAAGAACCAGAATCACAAAACAAACTTTTGCAGCACAAACGAAGCACAAACAATTCAGACTCAGGCCCAGGGGCCAAATTTGGCCCATAAGATCAAATCAAACGTATCAGAGCTGCAGCCGCACACAGATCGACTGTAGAAACATGATTTATTTCAAATGTCGTTATTATTTTATCTTCTGTTTGTTCTGGATTCAGTGTTTAAGCAAAACTTTTATTAAACATTTATTTGAATAAGAAAAGATTTAATTTTACAGATCTCCAAAGACGAGAAAACCTGCAGATGAAATGTTTCTACAAATATTTAGTTTGACCCACGACTTAGTTCCAGTTTTAAATTTTGTCCCTCAGTGAGTTTGAGTTTGACTTGTGTTTTATTTCATTTTCAAGTTTCCTGGGGCTGTTGACCCCAAATCGACCTGTAAAAGAAAAACGTTCATGTCTCCAAAACTAAAACAGCACAAACCAAACACAAACAGGACGGAGTTTTCATGTCGGTTTGAGTTTGACTGAGGAGATTTTACAGACGAGACTCTGGTCCTGGACTCGACTCTGGACTCTCCTCCTCCTGATCACACTCACGTGCACTCTCACACGTGCACTCTCACGTGCACTCTCACACGTGCACTCTCACACGTGCACTCTCACACGTGCACTCTCACTCACGTGCACTCTCACACGTGCACTCTCACTCACGTGCACTCTCACACGTGCACTCTCTCGTGCGCGCTCCTGGTCAGAGGGAGTTTCCTGATTGGCCCGTGTGGCTCGGCGGCGGCGGCGGCGGCGTCAGAGACGATCTGCACAAACTCTCGTCAGTGAAACGACTTTTCCTCCAGATGAAACCTTCACGTCTCCACGGAAACACAACACCAGGTCCAAGAACAAACTCAGGTCCAACAGGAACCGCAGCAGGTCACAGGTCACAGCAGGAGGTTAAAGGATCCACCCACCGACCAGAAGATCACCGGGTCAAGACGCTGCTCTGTCCTGTTCACTGGTGAAAGTCCCACTGACCTGAACCTCAGATTTATGTCACGTTCTCATGTTCTCGTGTTCTCATGTTCTAATGTTCTGTTCTAATGTTCTCGTGTTCTAATGTTCTCGTGTTCTCTGTTCTAATGTTCTAATGTTCTCGTGTTCTAATGTTCTAATGTTCTCGTGTTCTCGTGTTCTAATGTTCTCGTGTTCGTGTTCTCGTGTTCTAATGTTCTCATGTTCTAATGTTCTAATGTTCTAATGTTCTCTAATGTTCTAATGTTCTCGTGTTCTCGTGTTCTAATGTTCTCGTGTTCTAATGTTCTCGTGTTCTAATGTTCTCGTGTTCTAATGTTCTCATGTTCTAGTGTTCTAATGTTCTCGTTCTATGTTCTAATGTTCTAATGTTCTCGTGTTCTAATGTTCTAATGTTCTAATGTTCTCGTGTTCTAATGTTCTCGTGTTCTAATGTTCTTGTGTTCTCGTGTTCCTGGTCACACTCTGAGCTGGACTTGTGTTTTGTTTGAGTAAATCTTTATTATTCGTATGTGTACATCTCCAAACACTCTGCTCCACCTCGTGATGTCATGCAGTGTTCGTTTTTAGCCTCAGTTGTTGTGATTTCCTCTCAGTCTAGAACAAATATAAGTTCTTTCTAAAAATATATTTGTTTTACTTCTGTAAAGATGTTTCCACAGAAGCTCATTCCACCAGTAAATAAAAAAATTAAAGCCTCACAGAAACTGATAATCATGACTTTAAAAAGTCATAATGACTTTAAAAAGTCATAATGACTTTAAAACTCGTAATTATGAGTTTAAAAGTTATAATCATGAGTTTCTTTGAGGCTTTTATTTTTTTATTTACTGGTGAAATGGGCTTCCATATGTTTCAGTTCAAATGAGTTTTAAAAACACAGTGGAGCACTTCCTGTATCACCACATGATGACATCACAAGGTGGAACAGTGTTGTGTTTTCAGTCTGAGAGAAGAACTGGTGTAAATGTGCAGATTTGTGAGTTAAACATGAATGAAACAAAACACAAGTCCAGGAAACAACAGAACAGAGCAGAGCAGAGGATTCTGGGACATGTAGTCTCTGTTTAAACCACAGCAGAGCAGAGGATTCTGGGACATGTAGTCTCTGTTTAAACCACAGCAGAGCAGAGGATTCTGGGACATGTAGTCTCTGTTTAAACCACAGCAGAGCAGAGGATTCTGGGACATGTAGTCTCTGTTTAAACCACAGCAGAGCAGAGGATTCTGGGACATGTAGTCTCTGTTTAAACCACAGCAGAGCAGAGGATTCTGGGACATTTGGGTGTTTTTATCTCTTTTTTTACTGTCGTCTTGTGTTTTCATAAACTTTGGCCTCATGTTTCATTGAAACGACGTCTTGTTGGTTCGGTCGTTTTCTCGTTCGACTCTGGACTTCGGGAGCTGAACCTGTCGCCCTGTGGTCAGAGGGCGCAGCCGCTCGCCCTGTGACTCCTGGACCCTGCGCCTGTGACCTCACGTGACCCCGAGTGACGACAGGAACCCGCCCAAATATGGTCAGGTACAAACTCGTCACACTGTAGGAGCGCTGACCTCTGACCTCTGACCTCTGACCCTGGGAGTGTTCTGTTCACGTTTACACTTTTGAAATCACAAAACTGAACTTACAGATTTAAAGAAACAGTCCGGAGTTTTAGTCCACAGTTCGTCATGTCCTCGTGGTCCAGAGTTGGAGACGAGTGGAGACACTTCCTGAAATCTTCCTCCAGTCGTCGAGTTTCCAGAAGTGTCCAGTCGAGCAGAAACGGAGGAAACAGGGTCAGATTTTTGACATTCAAATGTTTCTTCTTCAGAAACTAGAGGAACTATTGAAATAAGTAAAGTATCAGAATGTAGGAAAGAGTTACACTCCAACAGGGTCAAGTTAAACCTGTGAGATTCTTTCAAGTTCAAGACAAAAAATGTAAAAACTCATGTCGGTAACGGAGGGAATGAAATATGCAGCACTTTTTGGTCAATAAATCCAAACAGTGATAACTCTTGGTTCTCACTTCCATATCCTTAACAAACTGGTTTGAATATTTGCTTCATATAGTTTTCTACCATATGGAACAAGATTAGGTTGAAAAACCTCAGACTTTTTGACTCATGAGATTTTTTATTAAGAAAGTTCATGGTAACGGAGGGAAAAGTAACGGAGGGAAAATTGTACAAACAAGTAGAAGGTGCAGGATTTTACATCATTTGTGGCTTTTTTCTTCTGAAAACTTTAATATTACTTCAAAATGAAAGAAACAATTTCTATAAAATATGTCAGTTCTTCTAAGCAAATTTTTATCATTTTAAATACTTTTTTTTTTTTTTTAAATCCTGTCCCTTCATCAACAGTTCAAAGATGGAATAACACAAGATATGATGAAATACAAACATTTATTTACATGATTTTTGGGTCTTTGAAATTTGGGAAATAATTTTTGTTCCATGTTTCATTCATGGTCTGTTTAAAACAGATGGAACTTTACAACCAAAAATGGAACAGAAAAAAGGTCAACAGTTTGATAAACTCGAGTACATATGTATCTGTTCAATACACTTTTATATCAGATGAATTCACTTGAAGTTTTGGTCTTGATGTTTACTTCTGCTGGACCAGGACCAAATGTAAAAAAAACAAAACAAAAAAAAACAAAACACCTGTGGTGTGTTATTTTTTGGCAAATTAGATGCAAATTTGTAAAACAAAATATTTTTAAAGATATTTAAAATCATGGCGTTGGCAGCAAAAAAAGTATTACAAGGAAACGGTTAAAAGCCGAAGCACCGACAAAAGAAACTGGTTTGACATAATTCACGATGTTTATGTTTTGGAGAAATGAACTTCTGCTCAAAGATTAGAAACAGA